TTCTGGTTTCAGGATCAGACCAAATCACAGTCGAACCTTCCCCCACTCACGCAAACTGCCGGACCCCTGGGGTACTTTTATCGCGTCGCGGAGGGCCCGAGCAGCACGAGCGATGTGTAGCCTGTCGAAAAGGAGCCTGTCGAGATAAATGAATGCCAGCGGTAGACCTTTCGACGAACCGCTGATACTTCATCCCATAAACCCTCATCCGGGTGTGTGTTCGAAGACCTTTTGATGACATTTATCGACCTAGGGAGTCACCGAGGCCTGTGCAGCAGTGTACTGTAGCGGCTCGGTCCGCAATTGACGGAACAAAACCACTTAATTCTTTGGTTCAAGCTTGATTCTGCAGTTGGCTTCTTGTGAAGTGCATCATGCGCACGACAAACTCGCGACTACCGCAGGCGGTGTTGCAAGACGACGCGGAGTCGTTGACCTGGATGCTCAAACACAACCTCGTCGATCTCGCCGCCACGGATGACCTGGGAAACACGGCGGCACACCTCGGGGTTTTCCATGATTTTCCTAGGTTGGTGGACGGGACGGTACGTTTTGATGTACCCCCCCCCCCCCGCACCGAACACGGTAGACGCTAGTTGCGGAGCTACCGTTTGCTTATGTTGTGCTCACCACATCCTCGATATCCATATCACGGCTGTGTTGTGCAGCAACGCTTTCTTCCTCGTCTCGTTTATCTTCCGTTTTACTAGGCACAAACAAACGCGATCGATCCGAGTTTCTGGTTTCCCAGGAAATATCAATGCTGTAGGTGAAACCTCCCCTCAGCGAGCCTCCATCGGCTCTCCGGAACCGAAATAAGTTTTTTCGCCAAAACGAATAACACGTACGTATCTTGAGCAGTCCCGAGCATGGCCCTATCGTCGATACTGTTTGACTGCAGAGGGCCTTTTTCTAGCCAAACTACCAATAGCTGTGGAGACCCCGACATACGGGCACAGAATTTAGCACTACTGGCGTACGGTTTGTCTAACGGGGGGCGGGGCTTGCCCATAGGAAACCGAACGACACTCTACAGACAGAGCAAGCCTGCCGCCCAGAGTACTTATTCAGACTCGCTATTTTCAGTGGACACTTGACAATCTTGAGTT